GTCTTCCTGTTGTATAATTGTTTTCAGCTTTAAATACCATCTTTCAAGGATGTAAGCCCTCTTGGGTCCCTTTTAAGGAGAAAGGCGGGGTAAAAATTTTATATATAAACAAACAGACATACAAAGTTGGTTCTTTGGGGCTCAAACTTGGAGGCCTTTGCAAAAATTAATCCCTAATTAATCTGGGATGAAAATGAAATGAAAGAAAGATGCTATCTTAAATTGTAGAAGCCTGATATAAACATCAGGCCTTAAATTGAGTTAAGAGATTGCCATTTGAGTCTTGCCTATTGTGCAAAGCCGTGTAAAACTCTTGACTTTGATAGCCAGAATTTCAAGAGGTGCCATTTTGATTCTCCCTGTTTGTGTTCTCTAAACCTCTACTCCGTCATATTCTAGTTCTGAGACATGGAAATCATTTTGTGTATTTGTTTCAGAGTCACACTCGTTGTGAAGTGGACGTCCCATGGCTGGGGTTAATGGGATCAATAGTTTGTTTAATTTATCTATCCATCCATCCATCCATCCATCCATCCATCCATCCATCCATCCATCCATCCATCCATTCATACCCTGCCTAGAGACCATCCATCCATTCATTCATTCATTCATACCCTGCCTAGAGGTCACTGGGTCAGGGAACGCGGCTTTAAAGGGCTTACCCAGAATTGGGCATGCCGTGTTTTACCCAAAATAAAACAGGGTCTTGTATTAACTTTTGCTCCAAAAAATGCATTAGGACTTATTTTCAGGGGATGTTTTATCTATTTTTTTCCCATGTACAATAATCTACATTTACTGTATTCAAATCCAGGCATGTCATTTTCTTCGGCTTGCTGCACAAGGGCGGGATTTCACTTAGAGTATGTCATTTTCTTCGGCTTGCTGCACAAGGGCGGGATTTCACTTAGGGTTTATTTTTTGGGCAGGGCTTATATGACGAGCATCCTGGAAAAAAAATCCCACGAGGGCTTATTTTCAGGTTAGGTCTTATTTTCGAGGAAACAGGGTCGCTGCTGCTTTCCCATTGCTTTGCTACGGAAAAGCTGCGTCTTGGCCCTCGTGAGATGGTTTGTCTCTTACCTTCCAGGCCTCTTGGTTTCCTCGCATGAAAACGTAAGAGCAGTCTTTCCCCCTCCAACAGCCGACTGGATGCCTGTGGGAAGCCCGAAAGCAAGGCTTGAAGGGTGCCGGCAGCTCTTTGCCCTCCAGCAACTGGTACTCAGAGACATCATAACGTCTCTGAACATGTCCTGTGCTCCTCTTTTTCTGCAGTTTATTCACAGGGAGTTTTTTTTTCAAAGTTTTGCTTCTTTTTTTTTGCTTGACGGTCTCTTACCCAAAAGAATTCCATCCTCCTCTATTTAGGATGATAATATCTCCTTGCCAGCTTTGACCCTTCTTCACCTCTGCAGATGGTTTCAGTTTTGTTTTTTTTTTGGCATTAATTCCTCTCTCCCTCTCCCCCCCGCAAATCTTTAGAATGAAGGTGCTTAAGGGGCCGCGGCTGGAACTGCTTCCCTCCCCACATCCTTTTGCACCTCAGCAGCACCGCCGACCCAGTTGTGGCAGAAGGAAAATAAATATTAATGCTCAAGGTGAACGCAGCACGAGGAAGGGCGGATGTTGCTGACTCAGCCAAAAGCGGGCCGGGCATCAAGTGCGAAAGGAGGAGGGAGCGGCCCCTCCCTCTGCCGCACCGGCCCTTGGATCGTTGCCCATGGCTTGGGGAGTGTATTGGGCAGGGTGGGCCAGCAGGGGGCGCCGTGCGTGCGGCAGAGAGCAGGTTGGCCTTTGGACAAGATGGACTTGCCTCTTCCCTCTCCAGCAGCTGGCAGGGGATGGGGAGGATGATGATGGTCGTGGCGCCTGATGGAAAGGCTCAGAAACTCAGTTGAGATGAAAGGCAAGAGAAATAAAATGGGGTCCAAAAAGGCTCAGATAAATTAAGTGCAGGGAGTAACTTGTGGAAGGGTTTTTTTAAAAAAGGGGTTCCATTTGACAAAGAATTTGGGGAGCGTTTCATTGGTCGGCGCGTGACGGAAGGCATCAGCGTGCTGGTGAGCTGTCAGAGGGACGGAAGCTGGACGTCCCGATTTCAAATCATTTATGTACCCCTGGAACCTGCTGAGTGGCCTTGGACAAGGTCCCTTTCCTACCTTATAGGACTGTTGTGAGGATAAAAGGGCGGTGCCCATGGCTGTGGTTAGGGACGTTGTGGCGCTGCGGGTTAAACCGCAGAAGCCTCTGTGCTGCAAGGTCGGAAGACCAAGCAGTCGTAAGATCGAATCTGTGTGACGGAGTGAGCTCCTGTCACTTGTCCCAGCTCCTGCCAACTTAGGCATTTGAATGCATGTAAATACGACCCGTCGCTTGTCCCAGCTCCTGCCAACTGAGGCATTTGAATGCATGTAAATATGACCAGATAAATAGGGACCACCTTGGTGGGAAGGTAACGGTGTTCTGTGTCTAGTCACGCTGGCTACGTGACCACGGAAACTGTCTACGGACAAACGCTGGCTCTGCGGCTTGGAGACAGGGATGAGCACCACGCCCTAGAGTCAGACACGACTGGACTAAATATCAAGGGGAACCTTTACCTGGCTGTGGTAGGGGAGAGCCACATACCCCCCTCTGAATTCACTGTAAGATGAGTGAAGTGATTTTGGGGTGAAGCAAGGGGCTAAAGTCCTCTGTGTTTTATTGGGGGGAGGAAGAGAGCAATACGAGGAGCATAAACATGCCTATGATGTGTAGAGCTTGGCCAAGTTACTCTTCTAGCCAGTGGCTCTGTTAGCTCAGGGTTTCTGGGAGTCATCGACCAAAACAATCACTTCTGCAAATTCTGGATGCATCCAGTGAAAGGTTGTCCGCAGGATTGCCTTGGGGTGTTGGGCAAGCTTCTGTCTTGCTCCATTCCTTCCGCCATCCTTCCTGCATGCTCCTTGTTGGCCTCCACAAGAGCATCCGGAAGAGGCAACTGAGGATTTTGATGCATCTTCCAATAATCTCTTTTTTTCAGGTAGCAGGGGGAAACCATCCTTAGGCCTCAGCGAACCGCGTGACTTTGCTGCATGCTGGCATTGTCTGAGGTTTCTCTGCTTTTACCTTGTAAAATGCATGAAGAATACAGTGAGATGCACTTATTCCAGTCGTCCAGCTTTTCTGTTGTTGTTGTTTCTCCCTTCCTTCTCCCCTTTTCTATAGCAAAACAATAAAAATGAGTATTTCTGATTCTAGCAGGCCAGGAGGATTGGGGGAGAGGTTCAAAGCAGGAGGTGGTGGTTTTAGTGCATTTAAGAGTATGCACTAGCTTACAGGATGGTGTTGGACTTCAGTTTCTGTGGGTTGTTTTTTGGTGACCAAGAATGATGGGAGGACCTGTGGTCGTCCAGTGATCTCTGGAGGACCACAGGTTTCTCTACCCCCTGGGTAAGCGCTGCCTCCGTTCTTTTACAGAAACAATCTGAGTTCTACAGAGCTGTGCTTCATATTTTCTTCTGTTTTTACTACCAGAGGCTCTGTTCCATAGCAGAGCTGTGTGGGAGCAATATATGTCAGTCTACTGGGGGTGGGGGTGTGATGAATCCAGTGTGTACCTCCAAGGATGGGGCATTTTAAAAAAAATTTCTTTCTCAGTCATCTCTTGGGTGGGTGAGAACCAAATTACCTCCTAAAGATAGATGAAGAGGGAATAATTCTTTAACATTTCCGAGGGCAGAGTATTGGAGCTTACGCTGCCTGATGAAGCAGTCGTGAGATTTTCGCCATTCCTTCTTCTTTTTTAATTTGGAAAAAAAGAAGAAAGAACAAAACTGAATTACCAGAAGTGGTGCAAGACACTCCTACCACAGCTTCCCACTGGCCACGCATCTTGGGAGCCAGATTACGTGGCGTGGTGTTTTATTTGTCCCATACCCACTGCATTTTGGCAACGGTGGTCTCTTGAGAATCCCACTAGCCGTTCATCTTGTCATGGTGTGGGATCAGCACGAGGGGTTAGGTAGTTGCTCGGTCCCCCTTTGACCCTGTTATGTCGCATGAGACTTTTAAAAAAAGTTTGAAAGGGGGGGGGACCCAATAAACCCCTCGGATCAGCACGAGGGGTTAGGTAGTTGCTCAGTCCCCCTTTGACCCTGTTATGTTGCATGAGACTTTTAAAAAAGTTTGAAAGGGGGGGGAACCAATAAACCCCTCCATAGACAGAGTTCTTACTCCTGTCTTCTGAAGATGCCCATGGCCACAGAGACTGGTGAAACCTCAGGAAGAACAACCTTCAGAACATGGCCAAAAAGCCCGAAAAACCCACAACAACCAATAAAACCCCTCCACTTACTCTTAAATTTCAGATTCAAGGGGATAGTGTCGCCGTGTCAATCTGTTGCAATGGAACAGTTTTGGGACGCCTTAAAGTCTATCGGATTTTGTTGTGCTTTTGTGAACAGCAGCCCACTTGATGTATCTGAAGAAGTGGGATGCGCTCCACAAAAACGTACGCACGCTGAAACTTGTTAGCCTTTCTGGTGCTCGTGTTGTCATAAGTGGAGGTACCAAACACCCACCCACCTTGAAAAAAGTTAATTTTTCCCCCTCTACCTTCTAAGAAATTAATAGAAACCATCCGCCCCTCATTTTTCTCACAGGAAGAATGTGCTGGGTGAGAAATGAAGGTGTGAGAACATCATCCGGGCCTAGCCCGGCACCTTTTGTTGCCTGCGAAGGAGCAACATATGGCAGCCCCAACCCACATAAAGTAAGGTGCATAATACGCAAAGCCTGACAAGTTATCCTGGCATGTAAGGGAAGGATCCCCAGTGTCCGTGCAGACACGAGTCATGGCTAGCCGTTTCCCGTCCCTTTACGAGACTCAAAATTTTGGCGGCTGAGGCTCCCGGTGTGCCCTGCCCAACGGTAGGGTTAGCCCCGGTGGCCTTAGCGTGGTTCCGCGGTTCAAAATGGTGGCATTTTCACGGAGGGCACTTTTCTATCCTCCCTTGCAGGTGGCAGCGCAGAGGCCACGGCCGAACTTTCTCCATGAGGAGGGGTAGAAGATGCCGGCTTTGCCCGCGCTGCTCCTGCTGCTGATTCTCGGCTTTGCCCACAAGAGCCTGGCGGTGCTGTCGTCTCTGCGTATGGGTAAGAGAGGGGCCTCCCGTGGATGGGAGGGGGGGTGTTGCTGAATAGCTGGACGTTGAAGCAGAACTCTTTCAGGGAGGGTGCAAGAAGCTAAGAATCGGGCAGCAGGCATGGGGGGTGGTGGGTTTGGGGTGGGGTGGGGAAGAGAAGCAGCCTGACCCTGGATGTGATGAATGGTTCCAGGGTGGCAGTGTCTGGTCCTCTTAGCAGTGCCATTTATTATCCGTGCATCCAGATGGCTACAGGGGGAATAAATCAGAACGGTGGAAGTAAAGGCAGAGCTGCAGAGAGTGTGGAATGGAATGGCTTTTTTTTCTGGGGAGGGAGGCCACCTAATGAGACTTGGAGAAGGAACTGCATCCATTTCTGAGCGAGGACGTGCATGTGATCCGGTGCCTCCAGGGCAGCCGAATCTGGACACCCGGGCAAACCTCAGTGAACACGGTCACGTCCCTGCTTTTGGTCACACGCTACGATCCGTTTCCGTCCGGAATTGAGGGAAACGAAAGCATGAAGCCTTTACTGCCGCCTGGACCCATTTTGGATTGCTGGGCATCGCTTCTTTTTGAAGAACGCTTCGTCAGCCTTCTTCAACAGGGCACCCTCCGGAGGGTTTGGACTGCAGCTCCCATCGTCCCCTAGCCAGCCTGGTGGTGGATGAGAGTGGTGGTAGTCCAGCCCGTCTGGAGGAGGTCAGGTCGGGGGCGGGGGGGGAGACCGCTGATGGCAGTGGAAAGGCTGCTGATGGTGGCAGATCTTGAAAGTCTGGCTGTCCGTCTGTTCTGTTTCACACAACGCTCATCCGTCAGTTTATACCCGACAGTGATAGAGGTGACATAGGTGTGACGCTGAGCGAGGGAAGGCTTGACAGGGGTGCGATGCAAGAGGGGGAGGGGCTTGTATGGATATTCTGGGAAGCCTGTAGTGGGGTCGGGAGGCAGATAACGCCGGCACCTTTTCTCCGAAGCTCAGCGAGTCTGTCGATCTGGTCACTGCCTGCGTGAGAGACCATATGGGGACTTAATGAGCAATGTCTTGCACTCCCAGGAGGGTGGACAGGATGTCAATGACATGACTTGACATGAATGAATGAATAAACCATGTGCCCGACAAATGTGGGCCGCTCATCTCCAGGGCCGCCCCCCCCCTGCCATCCTCTCCCGCTCCTGCTTTGTAGAAGGCTTTCCCTCCACCACGGAAAGGCACCCCCAGCCAAGCGTATGTGGAGTAGGAGGGTGTTACTCATCGTGATTGTTGTAAGAGGTGGGGGAGAAAACTTCAGGCCTCTGGGAACGACTTTTATTTTTTACTAGAATCCTGAATGAGGGACAGATCCAGGTATGTTAGTGAGGAAGGGAAAGGGCAGGTACTGCACTGTTTGAAGCTGCGTGGACAAATATCGGCCGTTTGTCTGAGTTGTTACGGATCAGACAGGCTAAAATCAGAAACAGAAGAGATGGCTGCTTTGCCTTGAGAAGTAGTCCTGCCTTAAGAGGTAAAGGGGCATCTGATTGTTCCTTCAGCATGGTCTCCAGTGCTGTTTCACAGCCTGGTTTTGTCTGGTGTTTAGTTATTAGTAGACCAACGTGAGACTGAACATTGGGTTTTATTTCGCTGTTAGCGGAGCAAAACTGGGCAGCTGTGAAGAACCCATTTCTAGAGCTAGGTTTTATCACTTCCTACTTGTGAGGATGACTCTGCCTGTTTCTGCCTTAATTTAGGCCTAAAAATGGGGGGCATTAAAAAAAAACAGGGAGTCAAAAATTCTTGCTCATCACCCTTTTTGAGCCTTTCCTCTATCCGGGTTGTCCATTGAAAGCTTTCTAATCCAAGCCTGAATTAAAGGTTACCGAGCCATAAAGAGGGATATCAGGGACTTTGAACTGCCCATTTCCAGGGAGCACCCAGTTCATGGACTCAGCAAAAAACACTCAACTCCTTTGGCCAGCCTTTCCCACCTAGGTGAGGAATGCTGTGTTTCTGTTTAGATGGGGCTCCGCAAAATGATAAGCAGATGCCACATCAGGGACTTTGAACTGCCCATTTCCAGGGAGCACCCAGTTCATGGACTCAGCAAAAAACACTCAACTCCTTTGGCCAGCCTTTCCCACCTAGGTGAGGAATGCTGTGTTTCTGTTTAGATGGGGCTCCGCAAAATGATAAGCAGATGCCACGTTATCCAATCCAGGTCCCTCTTTTCTTCTCTTTGAGGGTGAAACCTGGCCTTTGTCTGTGTGTGTGTGTAGGTGTGTGTGTGTGATGCATTCAATGGCCAGCCCTAACCATGTCAAAATGCACACGCTGGCCGTTCTTGCAGAGTTATGGCCATGCCCAGTGGCAGCTGCACGATGCCTTTGGCATCAAGAAGGCGCCAATCCTGCTTGCCTTTGCTTCTGCACTGTTCGCGAAGGCGCTGCCCGCCCGCATACGCAGAGGTTCCATTTAGCTGTCACGCCTAATCGCCATTGATAGACCTCTTCTCCATCATTACCAGAGTCCTGGCAAAACATGTAATCTGCTGTCATTGCTCTCACGGAGCTAGTGATCTTGATTGTGGGGGACAGGAGTGTTTTGGAAGAGGGAGCATTTCCAAGCACCGCCTGCTCCCTGAAAAAAAACAAAAATAAAATAAAGGAGTAGGTAGCTAGAAAGCTCTTTGAGATGCTGGAAGCAGCCACGTTGGGTCGTGGGCCAACGCTATGCTGTGTTTTCAGGCAGAGACAAGCTATGGGCCGCCACGATGAGGAGTGGGGAGCAAGCAAGGATAATAAAGGGAACAGTTTTGAAAATAACAAGGTTCAAGTCAAGTAGACATTTCAGTGTCAGTTGGATAGCTAGCTGGAGGATTCTGGTAGCGGCCGGGCAGAATTTTACCCCTCCAAAATCAATATTTTCCCCATTTGTCAAGCAGTGGAAAAGTGGGAAGGGCAGGTATGCGCATGTGTTGTAATGGCAAAGGGGAGGGATCATCCCAGAGGTATTTTTTTAATCTGTGGGTCACTGCTAGATCTAGGCTCCGGTCTAGGGTTTTTGAGGCAGATCTCTGGACAGAAAGCTGGAATCTGAGGTGATCTTAGCATAAGGAGAGTGGACAGTGTGGCTAAAAGAAAGGCAGGTGAGGAGAACCATCTTTGTAAATAAATAAATATGCACCAAGCCATATTCTCTCTCCTCATGGTGTGGCTATGTGGGCCTGCTTTTGTGGCTCATGGCACATGGACAGTTCCTGGTAGAAGTGGGTGACAGAGGCAGCTTGATATTTGAGTGAGCAGGGAGGAATCCCTCAACAGGAATAAAGTTGGTGGAGGAAAGATTTGGTGCCCTGTTTGACATGGGGTGAGAGCTATTAATCCCTTGCTCTTTCTTTTCACCTCTTCCCCAATCACCTTGTCTTTATAACTAGCCGCCATTTTGGATGACCAGACAGTCTGCGGCCGGGGGGAGCGACTGGCATTAGCTTTGGCACGTGAGCACATCAACAGCATCATTGAGGTCCCCGCCAAAGCCCGTGTGGAGGTGGAGATCTTTGAACTGCAGCGGGATAGCCAGTACGAAACAACGGATACCAGTACGTTGTGTATATATGTGTGTGTGTGTATATGTGCGCATGCATGCGCATGTCCCCATAAGTGTACTATGAAATGATGTTCCAAGCACACAAAGTCCATCTTTGCTTGCCAGAGGTTGCTGGCTGCCCTGACACCACCTGTGTCATCCATCAAAGTTGGTGCTTGCCAGAGGTTGCTGGCTGCCCTGACATCACCTGTGCCATCAAAAGCCATCAAAGTTGGCTTTTGTTCCGTAACACCTTCGTGAAGGCCAATCGTTGCGTTGCACGAAGCACGTTGTTTGGCAACGACTGCACATTCTTCAGATCTTTAAATAGAAAGGGTGGTGTGAGTTTGTGTATGGGAGAACAGGCCATGATGGGATTATGGGAGCTGTAGTTAAAAAAGGAGGAAAGTTCGCCACCTCTAAGTATTGGTTACTATGCCTTCATCACAGGATTGGACCCGGCAGCACCAAAGTCTAGGGGAGAATGCAAAATAAGTAGATACAGGGGGGAGAGAGTTCCCTGGCAGAGAGAACTTGAGAAGGCCTTGGAAGTGAAGTGGAGGATCATGCTAACCTCTGTCATTGGCCAGAAGCCCAAAGGTTGCACTTGACCCACCTTTCTCACAGAAGGGATAAGAATTGAGAAGGCCTTGGAAGTGAAGTGGAGGATCATGCTAACCTCTGTCATTGGCCAGAAGCCCAAAGGTTGCACTTGACCCACCTTTATCACAGAAGGGATAAGAACACAGTCGTGCCCCGCGTAATGATTACCCCACATTATGATGAATCCGCTTCACGACGATGGTCTAAATGTTTTTTTTTGCTTTGCGAAGATTGGTTCCCTGCTTCGGGAACCGATTCTTCGCATTACGATGATCAAAACAGCTGATCGTCGGGTTTTCAGAATGGCCGCCGGGTGCTCAAAATGGCTCCCTGCTGTGCTTAGGGATGGATTCCTTGCTATACAGGCACCGAAGATGGCTGCCGTATGGAGGATCTTTGCTGGACGACAAGTTTTTAGCCCATCGGAACGCATTAACCGGGTTTTAATGCATTTCAATGGACTTTTTATTTTCGCTTTACGACGTTTTTGCTCTACAGCGATTTCGCTGAAACGAATTAACGTTGTTAAGTGAGGCACCACTGTATGTGATCCAGAGTGGCAAAGCAGAAACAGAGTTGAAGCTTTTTTCTTACCGGTATTCTCCTGGTGAGTTGGATTCCGGCTCCCATCATCTAATCATGTTCGATAAGAGAGGGTGGGAGTTGTGGCTCAGCACATCCCCAGGATGAGGAGAGCTATGCAAGGGTACCTGAAAGAAAGTTGTTGTTTTTTTAAAGGGGGTACATGTGCCAGGGTGGATGGTTTTGTCTGGGTGATCTGAGCACAAGGCTTAATGTGGAAGGATGCGTTTTTGATAACCATCCTATTGCTCCTGTTTCATTTTCTATCCAGTGTGTCAGATCCTGCCCAAAGGTGTGGTTTCAGTTCTGGGCCCAGCTTCCAGCCCAGCGTCTGCTTCCATTGTCAGCCACATCTGTGGGGAAAAAGAGGTAAGAGTTCCTTCTACTCATATCAGGTCTCCTCCTTTCTGGGGGATATTCTCCCACATGGTTAGAATTGCTCACGGATTAGATACAGAACATACTGTTTTATGTATTAGAGAATTAGAGAACATACGGTTATTTCAGGTCTGTTCCTTTCCCCCACATTTTTAGTCGAGGACATGGAGTTGAATCCTCTCTCTGCTTCTCCTCCCTGCACCAGTAAAGACATGTACATACCAATCTGATAGAGTAGACCGGAGTCCCGCAGAGTAGATGGGCCACAGAACTTTGTCTAGCTCAGTAGGGTCTCACTCCAAAGAAACAGGACAAGCTTTATCATGTCTATATTGTTGTAGGGCAAAACAAACAAATAAACAAACAAAATCTATCTTCTCCTTTAGAGTTTCTAGGCTTTCCCTGATAATGTGACAAGCAGGGGACATTTTCAGTAATTAAAGACTTTCTCCTTCTGCCTTGTGGCTTGTCTGACTTGTGAATAAACCATTTCGTTGTGTGGAAGCCATGGGAACTGCAAGACAGAAGGAGGAAGTCTTTAAATATCTAAAATCTCCACTGCTGCATGACTTTACCAAGAGGAAGAGATTTTTTTTGTAATTTAGGTTTTTTTCTTCTACAGTGGACCTGCTGCATGACTTTACCAAGAGGAAGAGATATTTTTTTTTGTAATTTAGGCTTTTTTCTTCCATTTCTTGACTCCCAGAGAATGAAATGGATTGTTTGTGAGCC